AGACAATTGAGATACGGACACATAATGTATTCCAAATGATATTAATAAGTGTGATATCAGACAAAAGGATAATCCAAGGAAGTTCTACATCCATTTATATAAACGCAGGTTTTGGGGAGGGGTTTTGGTGCGTTTGTTTAAAAGGCATCAACTGCAAGCCACTTCAACACACAACAGCCCCTACTGTCATGAAGTGAGGGTGCTCAGCATCTTCCATAATTCTTGCCCAGGAATATCAGACAGCAGCAATGCAAACCAACTTTCTTGTAATTTACTCAGACATACAGAAGCCATCTGTTCCACATCACATGGGCCTACCATACAGTCCCTGATTTCCCCCATCAGGAGGATTCCTGGCTGTATTTAAAATCGCTAAACCTATTTTTTTTTAATTGCATTTATGATACTCTGTAGGAATTGTCTTATCTAAACAAAGTATGCCACAAACTGTTCTAAGTGTTCTACTAAGCATCGTAAGAACCCATTTTCAGGCTCCGATTTGAAACATAAGGATGGATACATTTAAAAACCTTTATTATCACTTCACCCTCTATCACTGCCCTAGGCACTATAAATATGCACAGAATCAAAATATTCTGACTGCTAAAAATTAAACAAAAGATTCAAAATAGCAAAACAGAGCTCTGCAGTCCTCTTTGGCCTCTGTTCACATTTTGGCTGTAGATATCCATTTATCATTCAACTACGATTTTTTCCAAAGAAGGGCAACATTTAGAGGAGGCCTTGAACACCCAACTTACACAACCTCACACTGGCTTCCTGACTTTGCAAGAATATACACTATTCTTATCTTTTTCTAGAACTGAAACTTGTACTGCACCCACTATGCTTTCCATTGAAAGAAGAAAAAAAAAAAAAAAAAGAGGTTCTTGATTCAGACTTTCAACAGAAACCCCCTTCCAGACAACAGCAAACAGGAAGCCATGAAGGACAAGAAAAAGAGAGTAAGTCACCCTCAGTTTCACTCTGGGAACACTCCTCTCAGAGACACACCAATACTCAGCTCACGACATCACCGAACAGAACACTTCAGCAGAGGAAGATTAAAAATAAAGAAAAGCAAATGTTGTGGAATAAAACAAAGATCCTGGTCCTCCCAAAACATCTATTCAGAAAATTCACCCATACCTTGAATGTTTGGTATTATTTCGTTCTACAATGCAAAACAATGCTGTGGAAGAGTAATTTCAATTCACAGCTATGAAAACCGTTTTTAGAATAACAACTGATTATTTCTAGTTCCAAGTAAAAATTCAGTAGCACTTAAATCTACGTATATTTACAGATGTCAGTCAGTCAAAACTTCAGAACGTACATACTTACTCCTGAGATCAAAGAACTGATTGCCCGGTACGCTACAAAACCAGGCCAACACCAGCAGTGGCACTTGGCATGCCTGCACCCTCGAGTAAGACAGTTCCAAGTTGTCTCTACATCCATACGGAACATCAGAGTACAAAAGGAAGGACTGGGAGAAGTTCTCACCAGAACCAGCTCCATCTGGCACCGTACTGCAGATGGGGTAAGAACCAGAGTGGTACTAAAGGAGTGGTAAGATGAGAGCTGGTGAAAAGCAGCTGTCCGAGGCCAAGCAGCACGCTCAACAGCATTCCCCAGCCTTGCTGCACGTCTCTTTTTAATGGGCAGAGCTGATTTCTGACTCAAATACCAAAATGAACAGCTTAAGCTGGTGCGGTTACTGATTTTCTAGTGTCATATATCAGGCCTGTTTTTCTTTGTCCATTAACACTTTTCTTGTCTGCTAGTCTGTGCACTTTGAAATGCTTCTCAACTAATTTCAGGGCATATGCCATTCACCTACCATTTTTCGTTTGATAAAGCACTGGTCTCATCTGGTGAACCCAAAAGTTTGAGTGGGATTCCACGTTAGTGGAATTAGCCCATGTCAGAGCAGTCACCTCTCTGCGGAGACATGAAATTCTTTAAGAGATTTGACAAGCCACTGGGGCATGACTGGGAAGAAAAAAAAGAAAAAAGGATTTATAGGTCCTCTCTCAGTCAGCTCCCCTCTCTAATACAACCCTCACCTAGCAAAGATTTTATTTAATTATTTTAAAGTACTTAGCGTAAAATGAATTCTCCTTCTCATCTGGCTATACAAGTTTAACGGATGTATTCCACACCCTCGAGAGCCAGGAACATATTTCAGGTCTCCTTACTAGCTTGATTAGCACTCTATTCAAGGTGATAAAACACAGCCTCTAGCTATAAGATTAGTTTAGTTTTTTTATTCCACAATCAGAATTTTCTCACTGATGGGGGAATTACTGAAACGTAGCGTGTAATATTTTACCAAACTCTGTAGGAAAAAGAGGAACAGCTTGATATATGTTGTAAAGAAAAAAGTTACCCCAAAATGCATAGGTTTACCACTTCCAGACACCAGAATGCTGAGCAACAACATCATGGTTGATACTTCCCAAGCTGAACCTACAGTCAGCAAGCTTTCAAACAGAAATCCAAGGACAAAGCATACTTTCCTTTAGCACTGTGTGCTCCAAGAACAAAAGGGCCTCTTACTACACATCCACCACACCAGTGTTTTGGTGGTTTCTGGGGTCTGGGATTTTCGCAGGTTGTTTTGCAAACAGAATACAGGAAAACATAGAAAACAGTCAGATTTCCCAACACACTGAGCTGCACCCGAGAGTCCTGGAAAAACTATATGAGCGTCCTACGCTGAACACAAAATCACTCCAACAGAAATCCTGGTTTGTAGATGCAACCTACAGCTCAAGCTTGTGTGGTCTAAGAAGGTATCCTGCCACACACTTCTACGAGTCAATTGAGGGGGTCACACAGCAGTATTAAGGACCTTATCTACAACTTACTACGACTCCAAGCTACCATGAACATTTTCCATCCTGTCCACACGAAACGGAACACTACACTGGAAAAGCAGAGCAAGTTCAAGACAAAGTTTGTTTTTATAGACAAGCCACCAACAGATCACCCTGGAATGTGTGTTACAGTACTTCAAAAAACCAAATAAATCTAGAATTAGGTATTCAAAAAAGCATGCATTCTAAAGCAGTAGCAAACACACAGGTAAAAAAAAACAAAAACAAACAAAAAAACCCAAACAAACGATCAGCTCTTGTTTCTAAACTTCCCTTATTCCAAGACAAAATACAGACTTGAAGAGCTAGAATTGAAAATAAAACCAAAAACACCCCAAAAAAACCAACCACCACCACAACCCACAACCCCAACCCTGGCTGCAGCCAAATGAAGAAACACCTACACTTTGAGAGCTGGCCAGCCTGAGGAATTAGCTGCTCACTAAGTGCTCTGCTTTGTCGTTCCATTGATCTTTCCAGGCTCAGTCGTTTTCTAACAGCTACTTCTACACAGAAAGTGGGTTTAAAACTGCATTGGCAACTGGCATAAATGGCGTTTCGTAAGAGGAATCTTCCGTTAAACACAGAACTGGAACATTAATTCGAACAGTTCATTTACCACCCACACCCTCACAACTAAAATGCATCGCAGAGAAGTGACAACGTTAAACACAGGGGTCAAGCACGGTGCTGAATACCAGAGAGGTGTATCATGACAAAGTCCACAAACACCTCGCCTTGTCGGACTGCTCCAAAAAAAATACACAAATGATGTTAGAAAACCATTTTAACATCTTCTGCTGTAAAATATTAGAGGATGTCACGGCCTTTTCCCAGAGCTCAGCACCATACACCAGCAAGATTGCCTCCTAGGACTTCCACTGACACCACCGCTGTGAACATGAAGGGAATCGATCAAGGGAGTCTACCTGGGCCAACACCCTGTCTCCGACACATGCACAGCTTCAGACACTTCAGAGTAAGGTACAGGAAGCCTCATAAATAGGCAATTCCATAATTAGATGCCCACACAGGGAGCTTCTTTCTAACTGCAAGCACTCAGCGGCTGGCTATGCCCTGAAGCATGAAGATTCATATCTGCATGACAAACAGTAATTCCACAATGTAACAATTCAAATATTTATTATTTATATGCCTATCTAATCCCCACTTAAAAATACTACTCTTCTCAACAATATCTCTAGAAATCAAGGTCCACAAGCTAATTACTTTTCCTGCACTAAAAGAAACAATATGACTGTCAGTCGGCACAGACCTTGCTGAGCCCTGTTACGCATTATTCATCTTTTACTCAAGTGCTCATAGAAATATGCCCCTAGACAACACACTCTTGAAGGCTGGTATTTGTAAGGCACTCTCTGCGTTTACGAAACTACATAATTGAAAAAATAAGAGTTAGGGTTTGGACCTGGAAAATAATGAACAGTCTAGTATCCGTTTTGCTTTCCAAACACAGCTGATAAAGATTAGCTGGACAACTCCTAAGCAGACTGAAAGAACTGGGAACTGAGAGAGCACGCTGGACATACCTTCTTCACACATGTATTAATTCCCAAAAAAGTTCTTCCTGTACCTCTAATTTGCTCTAGGCCAGCAAAGCATAAACTAGGAATCATTGATATGGGACCCTATATGAGTATTTGCACATGAAAGCATGGATTTCCACACTTAGTACTTCTAAAATTACATTCATATCTTCTAACAAGCAATGCTGAAATTTACACACTTTTAAGAAATCAAATTGAAAGGTTATTTTCAGAGGTGGGCATTTAGCCAATAAGACAGCGAAGAACTGGTAATCTCTGCAACCATTAGCACAATTTTGCAGCTCTACACACCTGTTTTGAAGCAATACATTATTCATCCAGAGATGCAACGGGACATCATGACTCGCTGGACAATTTCATTATCTACTGTCAAATTTAGTCCTACACATACACGCAGCAGGAGGCAGCAGCTTCTCCCTCATATTCGCTTCCACCTCATCTTCCTACCAGCATCACACTCGAGCTTAACTTTTCCTCCCTCGAGTAGTTTTCCTGTTCCTACAGGCTCAGATCAGTGGTAAAGCTTGCCTTTAAAAGTCACTTTACTTACCTTGTCTCTGGATTATAGCCCAGTATGTAGAAAAATGAATCCACTCGGGCTTTAAACTCTCTAGCAGCAAATATGTCAGAGAAATGCGAGATATTACACTTCCCTCTGAAAGAAAGAGGGGAAAGAAAATGGTATTAGAATTCTATCTTGGATAACAGCTATTTTAATTAAGTGCCGCTGCAATCTGTGCATAAGCCACAAACATCCTTGTGTTCTCATAAATGTCTAAAACTTCATAAATATAAGTCTGTTGTAACAAATAATCGTGCAGATTCTTCCCATGGTGGAAAGGGAAGAAAATTCCATTACAATGTCTCAGCTGGCATTCTACAAACATTCAGTAATTCTCATTCGGCCAGCACACAGTCCCGAGGAGCCCAAATTTAATCACACTAACGAACAGTATCCACCCTAGAAATACAGTCCTGAAAATGTCTTATCTTCCAAGTTTTTACAGTCTTATTAAATTTATGTCTTTAAGGAAGCTTTAAAAATTCTACTATTCATATTCTTTGGGAAGTCAGCTTTTTATTTAGAAAGCTAAATAAAACTTCAGTTTAATAACATTCCAAATAAAAAGCAAAGTTATGCTGTTTTTAGCAAGAGTGCAATACTAACAACACAAATTTCAAACACGCAAAAGTTCCTTTATAAATGTCTTTATGTGTTTTAGTCTCATATATGAAAGTAGAAGGAAGAAAAAGAGAAAAAATAGAAAAGAGGATTTATTAGCTTATTCTACAACAGATTGTTAATAATTCCTTTCATGTAGTTTGTTGATGAAGTCGTTATCCTTGAGGACGAGCATAAAGACTAGCTGTGAGAAGCTGCATCTCATCTCCTTGAGGGTTTGTTGGACTCAATGCTCGACAGCCGCCCGTGTTTTCCCACTCGACGCGCTGCCGTTCACTGCCACCAAGTAAATCCGATTAGAAGCGGGCAGAGACGAACGGGCCAGACAGGCAAAGAGTTAGTGCTGTTCATCTACACCTGATTCAATCCAATAAACAAAGCACAAGGTTTTGCTCCTTTTCAGTACGTCAAGCTTTCTAGTATTAATACAGATAGCATCTCTTTTCACTCATATTTACCAAATAGCATTTGCTATTATAAAGAAGCTGCTGTGGGGCTTATTTAACATTGTAAAAAGGTTTGCCAGTCTTGGTTAAAATTGAAGAAGTGCTATTGCCACCAGTACACCAAGATGAGTAGTTATTTTGCCTGTAATAATACTGGATCTGTTTGCCTGGTCTCCTCAGCAGAGCTTAAAAGCACTGTGTACTTGCAAAACTGCACTAGAAAGTTGAAAAGCTAAGCTTGCTTCCCTTTCATGGTAAAGCACTTCAAAAAGCCTTCCCAATCAACAGCCACGAAGAGCTTTGCCTCGGAACACGAGCTCTCCAACACACAACATCAGCTACTACAGGTGAGGAAAACACACACCAGAAGGATGGGCACAGTCGCCGACCGTCCCAAGACAGAATCGATACGGCTGCCCTGTGAGCTGAGGCTGCAGAGCTGTCCCTACGATGGCCTAATCCTCAGCCAGCTGCCTGTCTGGCACAGGGCCGAGCAACACAGGGCTTTGCACAGGTCATGCCAGGCTGCAATGGAACATTAACGAGGTCCGTAATTGAGGCGTCACACAGAAATATACTGAAAGACACACTTGTTCACTAATATTTATTTCGTTCCTCGTGGCTGAAGCTAGTTTCCTATTTCAGTCATTTAGAAAGAAAAAAAAATGGAAAGGGGTATTTGTTTTGATACTTCACGTTAAATTCACATTTTAGAAGTATTTTAGGGAAAAATACTTAGTTTCCTTTCAATAATTCCTCTGACAGTTAACAAGCATTTTCCACATAAGCTGCCACTGCTTTCCTGAATATAAATAGCACATCTTGTTCATAGCATTTCAGTCAAGTTGTGCTACATCTTACCGCAAAGATTTACTATATAGGTAAAAAGGACATAACTTCTATTACACACTTCCTCAGGCATCTACAAGTATCCTCTAGTTGGATTTTCCACTGGTTAGAGCAGAGGACTGGTAGTTACAATCACTGGTTTTAATTCCCAGTTTGTCATTAATTCATTGTCTGACCAGAGCCATCTGCTTGCAGAGGGCAAAGGAACAATCTCCTATCATAATAAATTAAAATTTCACGTTAAACCTTCTTTCATGCATCACAATAAATTCTGCCCACTCTTTGTTCTCAAACTGTAAGAACATGACGTGCAATTACGCTTCTGTTCGTCTTGTACGCTGAAAATTACTGATGTGTATTAATCACAATTTGCTAGAAAATAATCTGCAAAAATACAATCTTTCTCCTGCAAAAGTACATTTAGCATCTTTAGCCACCACCTACAAGCCTGTAAGAATTATCAAAAGTATGAACGAGCCAGAACACCCCAAAACGACAGTGGAACCGTATGTCAACACGGAGAATCAAGAGAGCGAGCTGGAAGGCGCCCACGGGAGGCCCTTCCACACAAACAGGCGGCCGATAAAGCGCGTGCCAGGTGGAGACAGCGATCAGTCCGGTCTGTCAGCAGCCTCCACTCGTTTTGGAAGGGGAGAAGAGAAACTCAGCTTTCAGGTTGGCTTGGTATACATATATATTCCATTTTTATCTTTCCATTTTTATCTTTGCTTTAAAGAAGAAAACAGAAAAGCTGTAGAAGAGAAGTTAAAATACTCCCAGGGAAAATTCCATACACACAGTTCAGTTTCTTTCTGCTTAAGCAGACAGATTTCCAAGACTGGTTCCACCAAGACGGCCAACCTCCTGCTAGCTTCTTTCTAAGCATGCCAATTTTAAATTGGAAGGTGACCTTCTGTAACTCAGAAAAGACACTACGGAATTTCATAAGGTTATAGTACACCACTGGAATTTTCCGAGCTTATAATAAAAAAATCTAGTATGTAAATCAAAGACTTCTTCCCACCCTTATAATAGAAGTTGCAGCCAGTTTGTCTTGAAGTAAGTGGCTTCAGCAAAGTGACTCTGCACAAAAAATGTCTCCAGATGGTTCTAGTGAAACACCATCTGAGCGTTATCATCAGGGAGATTACTCCATTTGCATTTCCACAATATCCACGCACGTTTGGCACATTGAAAACCTGCTGAAAAGTAATGCCTTGCTGGTTTTATTTGAACACATTTTGAAGTCCTGGTGTATCCCCTCAGCCTAGTCAAAGGTTCGCCACTTAAATTAAAAACTGAGTGGGTAAAGAGAGCAGCACCCTCCAGGAAGGGCAGACAGTACCGACAACAACACGGGGGTCCGTTGCCTCCTGCCTGCAGAGATAGTTTTTAAACGAAGCTCTTAGCTGAGCTGTAACGATGACAAGTGCCTCAGAGCAAAAGTCTTTAACGCAATTTAATCAGGGCAACATAGTAACAGTCACTTTACTCAGAGATGCTATTGTTAATAGCAAAATCAAACACGGAGAAGGGAAGGGTAGTATTTCTGCGGGAGCTAGCAATAATCTAAATTGGCTGTGATGGGAAACAATATCTTCTGAGCAATATTGATTAACTGAGATGAAAATGAGATTGTAGAATTACAGCTCCTTTTTGAATGAGAACAGATAACACAAGTTAATTACTGCAGGAGACAAGGAGAAAGCTGAGCGGTATGCTAATGATCCCCACACAACACCAGCAAAAGCACCCCCCTCTCCGTAACGTTTTTCTCCTCGTTCCCCTCAGAGACACCGCAGCACATCCACTGTCACTTACCTGAGGGCAGCAGCGTGGTAAGTGTCAACATAATCCGAAATGAAGAGCTCTCGATTCTTGATAACTGGGTCTGTAATAACAAGCTCTCGTCCAGAGTCTGCCAGAAAGCAAAAACACAAACAAAAAAACCACCAACACATTAGCTGTGGTCTGAACGCACCCCCCACTGCCATTTTTGCAGGTATTTTTTACAGGTCACAGTTTGAGGCTGTTTCTTAGACACCCACTCCTCAGTGTTTAAAAGATGACCAACGTGCAGATTGTTTACATGGCCTGCAAGGTACGGCAATAACACGATACCCATTTTTAGACATGAATTCTCCCTTGTCATATCTAAAGAACTGCTGAAGGGAAACAGACTCTAGGGGTACTGGATGACACATCTTGGCCACTGACCACTAAACGTGGTCACTCCTAGGTGAAAAGGAATGAAGTAAATCAATTTATCACTGACTTCTGGTCTCTGGGTTAAGGTTTTGGTTGTTTTGCATATTTAATCTCCAATTTTCAACAAAATCTTGACAGTACTAACTGCTTAGTGCTCTGGCTTTGACATAAATATTGAGATTCATGTGCAGATACAGAAAATGCTCAGTGTTAACAAAAAAACTGGAAGCTGATTCTTTCCATGACTTCTTTACAATACCTTTGAAGAACACACAAAAATATTTCTCCACATCCACAAGTGTGACACAAAAAAGCAGCCATGAAAAAAACAAATGCTCATCTTTTGACACTGTGCCTATAATCCCACTGTTAGAAGTTTCAAATAAATTAGTACGAGAAATATTATATTTGTGCAGCTTTTGCTAAAAGCACACGCAAGATGTCCTTAATGCCTGCAAAAAGGAGAACGTATACTGCACTTTGTACTGTCATGCGCCAAAAAGGTGCTGTGTTCCATATTTCAAGCATCAATTTTATCATCAAAATTCACCTTGGAGTATCTTCAGAATTTTAACGGTTGCCTCAAGGAAAATTCCTGGCAAGAATAGAAGCAAATGTTATGTCTCCCCTAGAGGCAAGAGATAAATGACACTGGAACATGTACTAAAGTTTCTTCTGCTTCTACTAAACCCCAGATCACACTTGTTTTTTGCAAAGAAAAAAGGGGGAACTCAGCTATGAGTGCTTCGGTTACATCACCTACTGCAATAGTAATCACAGTCAGTATTCAGACGTGCAAGGTAGCATGAACGTAAAAATGTAGTTCTTGCGACGCTATGGCAGACTCACAAAAAAGAGAAAGATGCACAATTTCTTTAGACAACTTGGTCTTCAGCCAGTCAGGCATTAGCACGCTGTCCAGAAGGCCTCCAAAGGATCCAAGGTGATTTTTCTTTCCTACTCTCTCTTAAGGCATTAGTGTAACACAGCACAGTGTTTAAACCATACCTGAAACGCTATGGTTACAGGACATACACTAGTTAGAACACACAAGGCAGGTAAGAAACACTCTCATCCATCTTCTGATAGATTGTTCTCCTCAACAGTCCTTGCTTCGCATCCCTGTGCAAACGTGTTCTTGCTTTCCAGACTGTCAAAACTTAAAATTCAGAGTACAAGTAAAGAAGGCCTTCCGCTACAGAGCCTAACTTACCATTCTCATTGTGTCTGTCCTGAACCAAATGCTGATAGACTGAATCTGGGACTTCAGACTGGCGATAGTACCATTTGACATTCATAAGGAGGTGGTCCCGTTTACTCTGAAAAAGAAGGTCTAAAGGCATTACTAAAAAGGAAATCCGACCACATCTGACACAATCTTCTAAAGTATAAAATTTGTTTTCACACTGAAGAAAACCTGAGTTAAGAGCCAAAAGGGAAGAAAACATTTCTATGGTAATGAAACAAGGGCAACACGCTAACGATTGACTTTTATACTCGACAAAGGCAACAAGAACCTACTGCACCATCACGCAGCTGTATCTCTGCGTATCTGACCAGCAAATACCTACGTATTCACCCACCAAAAACTAACACATGAAAAGAAGAGGCAGGGATCAGAAAGGGACAGGAATTTTTGGCCTCATGCAGCATGATCTTAGTCTGCTAATTCCTACAAACAAAAAGCCACACACGGAAAAAAGAATATGAATAGCGACATAACTCGGTGCAACCATTCTTAACAAACAAGATACCAGATGTTTTTTCCCCAAGGACAGACAGATTCAGACAAAACCGTAGCTGTTCTTTCTGACACTCCTTTACACCAAGGAGTAGGATGCTGCACTCCAACCGCTCGCGTACCTCACGCCGCCAACAGAACTATCTTCCTCCAGTGCTCCCTTTTCATTCGCGAATCCAGCTACCAGTTTGTTCCTTCTCAGAAGGAAACCAAAGCATAAACACTACTTAAAATGAGAATTTTTAGATCAAGTTATTACAGGCTCTCTGCTTCAGTCGATCTTTGAAACCCATGGTAGTGAACTCTTCCTACTGCCCCAACACACTGGAGGGAACAGAAGGCGGCCTAGAGGAAAATGCACATTCTTTTGGCATGAGGCAACCGCAAGCCCGGTTTGTTTTTTCTGGGTTACAGTTCCCTCGACCCTTCGAGGCTGCTCTTACAACATTTACATTTAAAAGCTGAAACACAGGTTACTGCACCAGTAAGTTCTTATCGTCTCTCCCGTTTGCTTCAGCCTAGTTGTTAAAGCCATTTCCACCCTTTCTGCTTAATAAACAACGTCCAAATCTTGCCATTCAATGCACTTCCTGAAGCCTTTGATCAAAAACACATGTAATACCGCAGAACACCTGCCGGTGGCAGCATTGGGCCAGAAAAGTCTGTTCAATGCACCGCGGCCCGGCGTGCTCTGTGTACCCAGCGCCTCGAAAGCCCCTCATGACGTACTCAGCGTACTGGTGCTGTACACCAGAACCTGTTTTTATTTTTTTAAATAATACATTTGCAGTCAAAGACAACAAGCTTGTCTAGTGCGTGAGAAAGATCCAAAGGACAAAGTCCGAGAGGCAGCACAGATTTCTGCTGCCTGCTGTTCAAAAAAGGCAGGAGCAGACTGCTCCGCTCTCCCTCAAGTTCTCTGCAGCCCCGTCTTCAGGCACAGTTTCTCCGAATTCCGAAGACAGAAAGAATGCACAGAAATGCTTTGTTACCCTCTTGCTAAGAGCTCATAAATTCTATCAGCGCTTATAAGAACTGCATGCAACAGCAATGGGAAGCATTAACCCAGCATTTCTGCGCTGAGTGCACACTCCGACAGCATCACTTCGTAGCACCGAAACTACTCACTTCTACGCGTGGACAGTTTACGACAAGCATCAAAAGCTAATGCTTCAGTTTTCTTGGCTTGTTCCGCTCCAGTTGGGTGGCTCTCGGACAGCCCAGCAGCCCATGGAGCGCTGGAAAGGGGCCGCAAGTACAGATGTCCACGGAGCCGCACGAAGGGGGACCACGGAACAGCAGTGAATTTTGTTGGCGGCAGTGGTTTGGAGCAGCAGATGATATTGCAGGGGGGAGCAGATGGACTAGAAATCTACACCGCGCTCTGGCAGGGATGGTGCTTACAAACACCTGTCTACAAACCAAATCACAGAATCACAGAATGGTAGGGGTTGGAAGGGACCTCTGTGGGTCACCCAGCCCAACCCCCTGCCCAAGCAGGGTCACCCAGAGCAGGCTGCACAGCACCGCGTCCAGGCGGTTCAGCTGGAACTTCCTCTGCTTCAGTTTGTGCCCGTTGCCCCTTGTCCTGTCGCTGGGCACCACTGGAAAGAGTCTGGCCCCATCCTCCTGACACCCACCCTGCAGATATTTATAAGCTTTTATCAGGTCCCCTCTCAACCTTTTCTTCAGGCTAAACAAGCCCAGCTCCCTCAGAATCATCAAAAGTCCCAAAAACAACCGGCAGCCAGTGGAGAGATTTGAGCAAAGGAAAAGAGCTACTGGATCCTGGCACAAAGTTCGACCCTGCTTCGACAGTGGGGTTGGACTAGATGACCCACAGAGGTCCCTTCCAACCCCTACCATTCTGTGATTCTGTTGTGGGGAGGACAAGGGTAGCAAGTGATGAACGAACGGATACACCCTCATACATGGCCTTGCAGCAACTCTGCTACGAGGGGACCGTTTTGCAGACAGAACTCTGGAAGCGCAACAATTCTGTGTGAAGGTAAATCCTTCACGTGTGCGTGCACTGAGATGATCTTACAACAAAAAGGGAGGGATCAGAACTGTGAAATGTCTTCATTGCCTGGGCACCACACAGAGCCGGGAGGTCACGGCTTCATTCTGAATTAGGCCAAGGCAGCAAAGGAGCTGGTGATGCAATCGCTCCACCTCCCTGTCTCGGTTTCTTGTTATATCGTAGCGTAGCGCAGGGCTTTTAGCAGCACAGGGATGAGGCTAAGGTCAACACTGCCAAAGCGTTCTGACACGCTCCGATGGAAGAAATTAGGAGCTGGAAGCAAGGTTTTTCCATTTGCTGCCATAAGGGGCCACCTCATTCTCCCCTCCCTAAAGACCCTCTCAGTTTGTCACTCGGTCAGAGCAAAAAGAAGTTTTTGCTTATTGCTGTCTCTCTCCTGTAAGCATTACTCCGAACGCCCCAGTTCCCCAATATATGTTAAAAAAAATGGAACAGCAGGGTATTACACAAGAGCTTACTAGGAATATTCACACATTAATGCACAATGAAGGCAGACAAAGTATTTACTATGTTTTAGGGTATTTTATCACCTCACCACTCAAAAATCCCACACTTCAGGAAAGTGTAACATCTGCATACAGTCCAGAGCTTCTTGCTAGTTCAAGCATTTTAATCTGATTCTCATTTCCCAATTCAAAACTCTGTCCTCAGACTCGCGGGATGCCTCAGTCGTTCCATCCACTGTGTTTTGTTGCAGAGGTCAGCAGTTCCTCCGCACAGTGACAGAGATCACCACCATCCCCTCCCCTGAAATCACATTCACAGTCAGGAAAAACAGGCAGAATGAGATTGAATTTCAGGAGGCTGGCTGAATCCGAGAAGTTTTCAGGAAAATGATGAATTGCCCAATGCCGCAACCTGCCAGCAGGAATGAGCGGGTAGTTGTGAGGCAGTGTCAGAGGGGAAGATTACCAAGAAATCACAGGGATTTTTGTAGCACAGCAAAGTGACGTTTCTTTCATTACACTTCAGAAACAAAAATAACCTATCTTCAAAAACTACCAAGCAAAAAGACAAAGGTAGAATTAGAACCAGAAGAGATATGAAAACAACAGCAAATCAATCCAAATGCTGTGTATAAGGACAGATTTGAAGCTGTGGCGTACACCAACTTTCTGTGCTTTTAACTTCTAAAAACTAGGTTTTATGAAATAGGCACTTAAATCAATTATGACAGGAAAAGCTGAACATGGCCAATGTACATATCTTTAAAAATTACCAGACTCATTACCTATCTTCAGCACAGAAAGCAGCACATGCTCCACAACGCCGACTGCTCTTCACCAGTTGAATCTCAGAATGCCCACATATGGCACAACTCGGTGCCTCCACACGTAAGGAACACAGCGACAAAAATATCATCATTGACAACCAAGATGTGCAAGTAGCTTTTTACAGAAGAGTCTCTGCACAATGATGCAGCTAAAAATATGCCAACATGCTAACACGCTGCGATTTGTGCACTGCTGATAGAAGTTGGGTTTGGGTTGTTTGGTTTGGGGTTGGTGTTTTTGGGGGGCAGGAGCAGAGGGGCGATCTCATCTCATTCCTAAACACCTCTTTTTACCGTGATTGCTGCTTTTTGTCCCATTAATTTAAAAGCTTCCACTTGAGAAGTATTTTCTCTATCTATTCTCCAACATGCATGATTTTGTGAGTTTTAACCTGAAGCTTCAGCCTCCCTAAAAATATAAAACGTCTGTCAGAATCTTGTTTTTCACACTTACATCCTTCACTGCACAGAAATTCCTAGACATGCTATTTTGTCAGCCAACTTCCTAAATATGTATGTCATTTACAGAGCAGACTATACTCCGAGGTGTCAAGGCGCCAGCTTCTGTGGTAGACTATTTATTTTAGGACCATGTGCACACAAAAGAAGTATCCCCTAGTTCCTAAAGTGTTGTTTTATTTCTTTTTTTTCACACCTTTACATCTGAAAGCTGCAGATAGTTACATGCCAAATTCAGACTGCAGAAATCACAGAAATGGCCAAGTACTTTAAACTTTCTCTTGGCTCAAAAAGATCCCCTGTGATACAAACCTCCATTCTCCTCTTAAATGCAAATATTGTCTATTTGCTGCAGTTCTCCAAACGTACTCATTTTGGGGGGTTTGTTGCTGCTGTTGTTGCTGGGTTTTGTCCCTTTTAAAAAAAATGAATCCGTTTTGGACATTCAACAAGAATTAGATAAAATCTGTAAATACATTAAACCAAACATCTGGTCAACTTCTACTTAAAAACAAGCCTCTCCTTTAAAAGGGGGAGAAAAATCTTGCAGGTTCTCTTTAATATGAACATACCGATTTCCCCATCATTTGCAGCAATTCCAAGGGGCCAGTTTTCTTTTAGAACACACTTGAAAACAGAGTTACTGCACATTACAACTCCTGTCTTCAGAGATTCCACATTCTCTTCCCAGGGTTACGACTAACCAAACCGTGGAAATGATCACAGATGTCCTGCAGATTCCCTCCGAGGGATTTACACAGTAGCCTTCATTACTTGCCCTATTTAGATACCACGTTAAATC